AGACTTTTCAAAGTGACCCCTCAATTAAGTTGTATAGAGTTTGAGATTCTAACTCCATGCCAATCAGTTCCTGTTAATCGCTTAAAGATTAATAAAGATATATTAAAAAAAGTCAATTACGACTCTTCATTTATAAAACGGTACTGGGGCTATGGGCTTAGTAGTCTGATATGCGAAGTAATCGATAAGCTTCAGAAGAGCGTCCCCAAGGCAAATTCATACACGGTAGTAGCAAGAATACAAAAACAAGAATCCCATGTATTTTGTTTGTGTAATCATAGTTTCGAAATGTCAAAAACGAAAATCGTTCAACCAAAGAAAAAACTTTTTAAAATACAAAAATTTTGAAAAGCTGGTTTTATGACAGCGTTTTGAGTTGGAACAAATATTTTTTCGAAATGAGCCTACTTGGAAAGCGATACAATTAATTTTTATAAATAAAACGTAATCTGCATTTCAATGACTTATTATTACAAGTACTTTCTCAGAGCATTTCACTGTAAATATTAATTGAATACTGTAGATATTTGAATACCTTTCGTTTACATGAAATGGAATATTTACTTTGGTCCGAAGTAGGCATGTAAGTTTCAGAAGGAGAAGAGATGGACTCATCATAATTAAACCGATCGAGTGGTAATGACGAGTTGAGTCAGTCTGTTTGTATTAAGATTTTCCAACCAAACTTGGTGCACATTGACGGAACCGATCATTAAAGGTGTGAAGACTTCGGCATTGCCGATTATAGCTCTTCCTTTTGTTTCTATTACTTCTGTGCTATCCTTTTTTGGTTTTCTGTGTTATTATTATAATAATTAATTTTTAGTTATATCTGTTTTATGTTAAGTGTGATTCAATGATTTAAAGCCAGTCTTGGTAAAAAAAATAAGAAAAGTTTTGTAAATACATACATATGTGGAACGGACGCACAACATGTAACATAACGTGACGGCAACCCTACGAACACGGACGATGAAATAGAATGACAACAATCGGAATGTAAACGTCGCTATAAAACTGTAATACAATTAAACTTGAAATGAAATGAATTAAATAAATTAATAAATATTAACTAAAAAGTGTTTTACCACATTTACATAGAGTGAATTTAATTTGCATTTGATTGAGGTGATGCGCGAAACTCCCACACAAAATTACATACAACAAATTATTCAATTCAAATTAAACAAATAATAATAAAAAATAATCCAATAATTGAATGCTACCAACCCACTGTAAAGTTGCGCCGCGGCAATCGCAACATATATCAAAGTAATCAAAGCATTTCTACAGCCCAGATACACGCCAGTGGCCCGCCGTTGCATTTCTAAAGCTGCAAATAATGAAATATTGAATAATTGTGGCAGCGGTTGGATGTGAAGCTAAGTAAAGCGACATTTGCACGCTCGATCGATTTGCCAAACGGTCGGTTAGTGACATTTTTGCTTTTCGCCAACACACAAGCGCAGTACATAAGACACTTGGAAATTGCAAATGAAGCTGCACATGAATAGTTTACACATTACATACTCATATGATACGACATAATAGAAATTATTAAAACCATACATACATACATGCATACATACATACATACATTTGTACATACAATATGTAACAAAATACTTTTTCAAACTTTTACCACTCGTTTGGTAATCATAACACTTCATTCAAATACGAATAATTTTCAAAGCGCCCCAAACGCCAATGTAACTAACAGCAGCAGCAACAACAACATAGCGGTAGCTGCTGCAGTTAATGTGCAACAGAAACACTACACATATGCTATTTGCAACAGCTGTGTATTAAGTATTTGCCGCTTTTCCGCTTAGTTACTCGCTATTGTGGCACTCAGATTACCAACTTTTGACCGAGCTGATCGAAATGAAAGTAATTTCAGTTAGTTTGGTGGGTACACGGGCGAGTGCGGGAGTGGGGTGTGCTTAGGGGAAAACCTCATTTGTCAATTAATATCACCACATTGGCATCTGAAATGAATTTCTTTTAACTTTCTGTTAACCAAAAGGCCCAATGCAACGCATTATTCGATTTGTGTAGGAGTAAAAGTACTACATATGTATAAGTGCTGAAAGTGGTGTTCGTTCATGCAGCATATGTTGTCGTTGCAGCGTTGGCAATCCGAAACGGTAGCGCGATTATCGCAGTTATCGTGCATCTTATGACGCCTTTAACGAGTAAAGGTGCTGAGTTGAGGAAAAGAGTCTCTTCTTACACTTTAAGCTTTTGCACAGACATGGATCTGATGTGAGTTGACAGAAAGCTGAGTTTATTAATAATGTAATGAATGCTTAAGAGTTTTTAAATGAATTATTTCTCGGCTTTTATGTTTTAGATGATTGCAAAGGGTAATAAGAATATACTTATATAATTAGCGCTTTGTAACCGCTAAAGCGATTATCGGCCGAGCTCCTCCTTCAATTTATGATTTTGCGTCTTGATGTTTTTCCAACGAATAGAGGGACCTACAGTTTATACTAAGCCAAGCGGCTGATGGTTTTTTATGAGGAGCTTTATTTCATGTCAGAAATTAAAGATATATTGGATTTAAAAAGTTTAATTTTTTTCGAAGTGACATATATTTATTTCAGTGCATACTACGATGATCATAGATAGCTTCTTGCGGGCTAGGACTTCTGGAATTTATCTGTGGTAAAGCATACCAACTGCCAGAGGCACCTAAAATCAAATACTTCCGCCGACAGTCGGATTTTTATACAGGCACCTTCCGGATTTTTTTGTGGCCAAGGACTATCACAATACTCTCCGACCACTGATTATTTTTTCTAAATATTTTTTACTATATTTTTGAGGTTATTACAACAACAACATTACAATCATGGAAACCATTGTATATGATGATTTTGGAAGCTTAAAGATTCAACAGCAGGCATGTGGGTATGCATGGCTATCGATATGGGAGCAGCACAATATTGATCCGAGAACTGAGATTCACTATGTATTCACAGCGTTTTCTTTATAAACTTCACTAGTTACTTTACCTTAACCTCCTACTACTATCTTAGAGAAAACAGCGCAGAAGGCAGATATTGAAATAAGAGCATTTCTTAAAAGGAGTTCCACCCATATCGGAGATCGTTGCACTGAAAATCAATATCTTTTGTCACTTGCAATAAAAGTCGCCCAAAATATTCTCTCTCAAATGAGAATACTTCTTTACAGTAATATCAATCTTATCCTGCCACTGCTTGATAGAACGTTATAACACAACTTATGATTTATTTTATGGGACCAAAATCTCAATATTTTTACTTCTAGGAAAAAATTGAAAAATCTTTTATCAGTTTTAGTATGAAATGAAAGCATATGACGGATATCAGCCAAATCGTAGACCATCACACAGAAGCTTGTTACATTTAATGACCAATTTGAGCCAAGTTTGTGCCTATTTTCAATAGGAATATGTTTTTTCGGTGCAAATCTGTCTAGCAAACTCGTTTAGCTTACAAATTTAGGTGTCATTGAATTTGCCTTTATCTCATTAGTTCATGATTTAATTTGGTATGATCTATTTTTAAGTATTTTTTGTTGAAAGTAGTGATTTCAATTGCTCTGATTACTTTTGAAATCGTATAATGTTATTTCTATTGATGTGATCTTAGTTAATGTACTTGATAAATGTATGAATTGATTTATTCTAAAGCGATCTTATACGATTTGGTCTGATTTTTAGGGATTTAACTCAACTTGAGCTCAAGTGATCTGATTTGCTTGCACTTGATTTGATATTAGTTAATATGATCCTGTAAGATCTGCTTGAGCATGATTTGATTACCTTATGTTATTTGGTTTCTTACGTAATGCAATTTTATTTAATGTGTTTGATTTGATTTGTGGCTTATTGCGATTTGACATAATTCGATGTCATGTGATTCGATTCCAAAAGATTCCATTATATTTGATATCATACAATATGATAATATTTCACCCGGTGTGTTCATAACATAACATAAAAATGCTTTGTTTTGTTTCTATAAGGTTTTATGGTAATTGAGTTTTCTTTGGTCCAGATGATCTAATTTGCTTTGACTTAATTTAATATGATGTGACATCATGTCGTGTGATTCGCTTCCGGGCCATATAATTTTTTTGTTACGTAGTCTCTCATGCGGGCAGGTTTGTAGAAGAAAAAGAGGAAGTTTATGGCGACGTGACTTATTTTCATGTGATGTGATTTGATGCCAATTTATTTAATTTTACGTGATTTGATTATCATATCTGATATATGATTTGAATTGATTTAATTATATGTTATGATGATTCCATAATATGCTGTGTAATGTCATACGATTTTGGACGACTTAATTTTATTTAATATTACAATATAGTATTAGTAGTGCATTTTTTTGGCGTCATGACGTTCCGTGGCGTGGTTTGTTACATTATGTGATATGCAATGATATTTTAGGTAATTTGATTAAAATTGCATTATATTGATTTTTTTTTGTGATTTGGCTGGATTTGATAAAGTGTTATGTGATTTGAATTTCTTCTGAGATCATATTTAATATCGTATGATGAGATATCATGAGGTTATACTTGACGTGATGTCAGTTGCTAAAAATAGTCATGTGACTTTGGTATCACGTGATACCATTTGATGCGATTTCATTTGTTCTGATTTTAAACCATATCGTATTTGGAGTTGATCTGATTTGATTTTAATTGTTTTAATGCTATTTCATATGGCATGAGGGAGCTTATACTGCTTTTGTTTGTGATTTAGCTTTGTTTGATATGATATTGCCTTGATTTGATTTATGCTACTGAGATTTGCAGCTATGCTTTGCTCCGTGTTGACTTGAGTTGTGATTTATTTTTAAAGGTTTACTGACCAGTTTGAATGCTGTCGTAATGCAATAGTTTTTTTTAAATAAAAATCTACCAAACCTTCCTTTGTTTTATATATTTTTTTAAAACATAATATTCATCAATCAATTTTTTCTTTCTCTCTTTTACAGTACGGCCTCCGCCAATTGGATCTCTCCCTGTTGTCCCAGTTGTGGGCACTCAACGACTCGATACAGGAATTTCGTACCATGTTGGAGTCACAAGAGCTCGAACCAGACTCATATTCACCACACTCACCGACACCCTCATCTTACGACTCGGTTTCAAGTGATGCCGAAGATGATAGCACCATCGCTGCCAACACAAATAATAAGCGGCATAAATCAGGTGATGGAAACAAACCAAAAATCATAACGACACAACCGAAGTTAACGCAACGCTCCAATTCATCAGCGACGGAAAGAACGAGCAATGGCGCGCCACAACGACCGTCACCGCCTAAGCCGCTCGATATGTCGCGACCAGTACCACGCATGCGCAGCGCACCACCACCACCACCCTCCAACCGGAAAGCAGCGGCACCGCCACGCCCTACATGATGCTACCTAACGGATTTCCTCGCCAGCATGAAAATGGTCATGTGTAAAGCGATTGTGAGCAACAACGGTAACGGCTGTGGTGATGCTTTAATGGCGGCGAAACGTTGAGGGGCAGGAAGAGAGCGAGTGCGTGATCGCAGAGCGAGCGAAATAAAGAGGGGGAAATGAAAAGAGCTGTTACTGGTGGTGTGGGCGAGGAATTTCGACTGAGTTTAAAAGGAAAATAAGTGTAGTGAATGAATCATGAGCTATAGCAATGAAAAAAAGCGAGCAAATGAGGAAAGAGAAGTAAAACTACTGCAATAAAGTGAAGCCTTAATTAAAAGAATTTTTGTGTTAATAATTAAATATAAGTTCGAAACTAAGGACAACAATCAAATTTTGGGCTTTCAAGCAATAAGTGTGATTGATTGATAGAAATTAAAGAAAAATTTTGTAAAAATTAATAATAAAAAAATGAAAACTGAAAAGATAATATTAGAATTTGCAAGGAGTTCGTAGAGTACTAGCCTAGTTAGTTAGCGATATACGAGTACACACATACACACACATATGTATGAATGCTACATACATCTATGAATATATAATTAATTTGCTGCAATGGGTCTCGGTGGTATGCAGCGCCCCGGCTGTCCGTCAATTAGGCTTACATGTGTAGGTACAATCGTATATACATACATACAAATAAACACATATGTACTTGCAAAAAAATAAATAAATGAATACAATAAATACTATAACGATTGGCTTGAGATCAAGGATTTCAGCTTTACATACATACAAGCGTACGTACATACATACACACATACATACATACTTATATAAATATGTATTTTCACTAGTGATTCGAGTGAGCTTTTGCTTTCACATGCCTGGTAATTTCTGATGTTAGATATTTTGGCATATATATATACACATATGTACTACATACATATTTTACTAATTTCTTTTGGGATAGCTCGAATCTAATCGATTTCTTTTAATATATCTTTATATATGTATGTATGTATGTGCGTGTATTTTCAAGCAGCCAAAATGTAATAAATTTGATTGTATTTTTTATGGTATACCTATGTATATGTACATGCTTGTAATATGCAATAAATATGTATGTGTAACACTAAATTAGAATATATTATATATGTGCGAACACACACATACTTGAAGGATGCTTAAGTTTTGCGTACTAATAATGCTGTTTGCTAAATAATGATGATAATAATAACAAATAAATGTATAATTAAATGCTATTGTAAATATGTGAAATTTTAAATACATATATATAAATAAATAAACCAACTCAAAATTATAAAAAATGTCATTTCGATTTTTTAAATGTTTTCCAATATCACGGTAATAGTCTAAGGTTTCCTTCAATCAGATTTACATCAGAGATGCTCAACTAATGAAACAATACCATTTCCTTTAGATTAGGTTAGGTTACGGTGGCTACCGATCTGTTAGACCGGATTCTCTTAGATCTGACTTAGACCCATTGTAATACCACAAAAACTTAAACCAATACGGCTTCATCCTCCATCCATTTTGATTCTGTAATGAACCTCATTAGATCCATGATTTTGACGTCATCTACCGTCGATAGAACATACAAGAGTGAGGTCCCAAAATTCCGAAACCTCGTCCTTATCAATGTAGTGCAGTCGCATAAGAGATGAGTGATCGTTTCCTCCTCTTCATACTCCGTCCAGCTTCTGCAGCATCTTCTATAGGGAGCCCTTAGTCTTTCTTCGTGGCGCCCTATCAGACTTTGGACATGTCGCCTCTTTTTAAGGAGTACATATCTCGTGATCTCTTCTTATCCCATTTCGGCCATGTATGCCCTGTTTTGCGGCAGGTTGGGATGTCATTCCATCTTGTAGTGCCTTGCTCATATATGAATTTCTTGAGAAGCAGTTTGCATGTAGCAAACGACATACCAATTCTTTATCGGAAGAATCCGCATAGCAAGTTCATCTGACTGTGACCAGGGACCCAAATCCGAGACAGTCTGTTCTGTTTGGCAATCTCCTGTATAATCTCCTGTATAGATCGGCAACAGCTCAGCACTAATTTGGAGTTTAGCGTAAGCGATCCCAGTGCTTTTATTGCTGCTTAGCTATCGCTGTAAATAAAGATATTTTTACCTTTAAAGTTGGCTCCAATTTGCTTTGCAGCCTCCATGATAGCAGATATCTCCGCTTGGAAAACACTGCAATGGTCAGGTAGCTAGAACGAGAGTTTCATCGGGGGGTTTGTATGCTAGTTCTCCCCTCAATCTTTGACCCGCCTATGTATATTTCCATGCTATCATTTGGAGTATTATAATTATCTGTCCATTTTTCCCTGCTCTGACTTCGTATTCTAGATTGGTTATCAGTTACTTCTATTGGACCACATCTATCTGCATAACTTGGTATGAAGTCGTATTTATCCCATATTGTCGGAGTGTCCCCACAACTGGGTAGATCATTGATTTAACTCTCTCAGACGAAGTGCAGTCATTGCTGCCGACTGATGTACCACCAAATCCAGTGGCAAAATATTGAGTATCACATTTAGAGCCTCACTTAGCATGCTTCTAGGTGCACCAATGATAAACATTAAGGCACTTCTCTGAATCTCATCTCAGAGTTTAGAATTTGAAGTTTTATTTATAGCTGTCCTCACGATCGCATCCCAGACTAAGATGAATGCCGTGCAGTACTGGTGGGTTGATAGCGGGGATCTTATATCTTCTTGTGTATAGTACGAGTTCCACCTTGTTTGAGTTGACACAGGGGCCACATTTGCAACTCCAGGACAAGACTTTTCTTTGCTTGATACATCCTTAAAATTGTGAGACTGATTTGCATTCAATCGTGCAAACAGCATATCCAGTCAGCTCCACGTCTTCTTGAATTAGATTTAAATTTCGGTGGGCAAATCTCTTCTCTTTCTGATTCTTTCTTACAATTTGTTAAAGTTGTAATAGAACAATCATGAAAGGCATACACACGATTAAGTTCACTATCAGGGGTTGCTAAATACAACATAATAATTATTTTTGAGCGTTTAAACATTTAAAAAGAAATATGAAAATTATCCACATACTTTTTCTTTAAAAATGGTAAATTTTTTTAAGAGAGGAGGGTAGCACGAAAAAGCGAAAAGAGAGAATGAAACTACCTTTAAATTATTGTATCAGGTGTACAACTTTGCTTCCGCCGTTTTCCGATAGGTGGCTGTACCGGCTGAGGCTGGTTAAAATACAAAGATGATTATGCCATTAAAGTGAGTGTGGACAGTGCCTAACGAATTGTCATCGCCGTTTCAGTGACAGTTGTTCTTTTTTTCGTATTATTCACGCTCGAAAATGTCCGTTTATGTGCCTTATTCCCGCCATTTGCAGGAAGTTTTACTTTTCTGTTACAATTCGAAAAAAAATGCAGCTGTAGCGCATCGAATGCTCTCAGGAACTTACGGTGATGCTGCTCTGAGTGAAAGAACGTATCGGGAGTGGTTTCAACGTTTTAGAAATGGTGATTTCGATGTCGAAGACAAACATGGTGGTGGAAGAGAAATTTGGTGGGATCAGCTCGGTGTGATTTACTACGAGCTCTTAAAACCGGGTGAAACCATCACAGGAGATCGCTACCGAACGCAACTGATGCGCCTTAGTCGCGCGCTAAAGGAAAAGTGGCCACAACATCAAGAGCGACATGACAAAGTCATTCTCCAACACGACAATGCTCGGCCTCACTTCGCAAAAGTGGTCAAAAAGTACCCGGAAACGCTGAAATGGTAAGTCTTGTCGCCCCTTCTAACTTCCACCTATTCCGTTCGATGGCACACGGCCTGGCAGATCAAAATTTTCAATCCTTCGAAGAATTGGAAAAATGGACCGCTTCATGTATAGCGTCGAAAGAAGACTCCTCATATCAAGCAATCGTATTTTTATAAATATTTAAAACATCTATGCGACCAATCCGAACAAAAAAGATTAAAAGCAATTAGAAATTAATTGATTAATCGGTATATATCGTATATTTTTGATGGTTATAAAGGCGAGTTTCGTTGTATTCATTTCAAGGCTGCAACGTAAGGATAAATTATTAATAAACAGGATTAGGTTAAAACATTTGATAATATTATTGATAGTGTACACGAAATGAAAATATTAAATCGTTAAAATTGAATTATGCCGCTAATATCATAGCAAGCACCCATTTTGGCATTAACCTTAACGATGACTTTATGCGGTTTCAACATTAACCAGTTCAATTCGTTTCGATAACATGGCGCCTAAGCGAGTCAATATGATTTTCTTAAGTTTTAATATTAATATAATTAATTAATTTTAACCAAATGTAACGGCATCGTTTCATAAGTTCATTGGAATTTAATGAACAAAGTTAGCGAACGCTTTCATTTCCTACAGGGCATTCAATTCTGTAGTGATATTTACCTTTAGTTGCATACTTTCAGGCGAACGTATATAGTATAGATAATACTTAAGCAACTTTGTGAGCCTAAAAATAGGCAATGATTTTTTTATGGTTTTTACATTTACAGTGGTGCGGAATATAACAGCATTTTATTAAATAAATCTTCACACATGAGGTGAAATGTCATGCATTATCTTTCAATGGAAGACTTTAGTGATCTCTATCTGGCGTTCTACAAATCCGATTGGATTACCCTAGATGGCGTTGCAAAGATGATATTTTATACAAAATAAAATGATGAGAGAAATGTTGATCAATTAACTGAGAAGGGTTTGAGCGCATGCCAAAGATGGACACCAGCAACAAGAAAATACGCCAAATCGCACAATTTTTCTTCGATAAAGGCGACAACACAAGTCAAGCAGCAGAAAATATGAATAGTTTTTATGGTCTTAAACTATTATAGTTAATCATATATAATTTTGGTTTCTATTTCGTTGCAAAAATAATGAAAATAAGTATGTTTGACTAACATTCGAGCACTGTCTTGATTGTTTAGTAATTTGAAAAAAAAAGCTGGATACACAAAGAAGTTCGATGTCTCCATACCACTTAAGTCAATGAGAAAAGACCTCATGAAACGAATTTCCATCTTCGAATTGTTGGTGACTCTTAACGAGCGATACATTTCTTAAGCGGATGGTGACTGGTGATGAAGCTTTTGCAAACGAATGAGCCCAATTTTTTGTGCCAATAGGGACAAGAGGCATAATGACATTGCCTTCAAAATGGCAAAAATATATTTTTGACCTAAGGCGAAAAATTCTAATTATGGTAAATAAAACCTGCTTTTTTAATGTAATTATAATGAATTATCTTTTACCGGACCAATATAAATAAAATTCGCACTTCTGCTTAAGAAAGCGAAAACATTAAAATCCAAAAAATATTTAAATCATTCTGCCTCATATCTTAATAAATTTAGAAACTATTCAAGCGGTTAAATGATTGCGTAATAATTCAATTCTCAAACGAATTGAATTCTGTGAAATATTAGCTTTCACCAAAACCTGTTAAATACAAGTCCAAAATTATATCTTTATCAAAAAAGCAATAAAATAATGGAGGTGCCAAATTCAGCAAAAAGTTTGCTAAAAATTATAAAGAACAAGAAAACCTACGAAAAACGAAGCTTATAAAAAAACAGTTCAAAAAAAGGACGGATAGGGAACAGGTTCATTAAATCAGGTAAAAATATGCAAATTAATGCCGAAATGAAAATAAAAGTAAAAGTGATTGGAACTTATAAAAAAGACACAGGAAATTTCGAAAAAGATATGTGTATATACATATGTATTTATGAGGCATGTTCGAAAATAACGAAAAATTTCAATTCTTGAGCAAAATGTTTGTTTATTCATTCAAATTGATAAGTCTTGGTTCAAAATAGTCACTATTACAGATTATGTTTTTGTGATATTTTTGTTCAAAATTTATGGAAAATTAATTTCAATAAACATTTAAATTAAATTTTCTAATTGCGGTCGCCCCTCGGCAGGGAATGACAACCCACCGAGTTTCCTCGTAAAAAAACCAACAGCCATTCGGAGACGGCTTAATATAAACTGTAGGTCCCTCCATTTGTTGGAAAAACATCAAAAGGAAAACCATAAATTTGGAGGAGGAGGAGGAGGACCGAAAAATTGGCTCAGCTGTACCCCCAGTTCTTTAAGCGATGTGCTTTTAATGTTACCCACCGCAGTAGAATGATGGGTTTGTAAGTTTTTTTTTTTATTTTTAGAAATGAGAAAAGCCATATTTGGCAAAAATTGAGACTGAGGCATCATTGCAGTATTGGTTTTGGTTCAATATTCACAAGTAAGCAATAAAAGGTGAGCTGTCGGTTTTTCCACGAATCTAGGCGTTTTTACGGACTGATCCACATCTTTCATTCGTATATTCACTAGTCTCTGCGAATGACATTAAGGTTCTCTTGATTTGCCGTCCTTTTCAGCGGTTCGGTTTTATGATGCTCTATAGAGTCCTCGCTAAGTGTAGTGCTTGCAATGGCATGCCAGCAAATATTGCTTAGACAGCATAACATTATTTTCCTTAACAGGGATCATAGTTGTTTCATTGTGTAGTGGTTCTTAAGTGACATCAGGAGGTTTACCGTCATTGTCCTCATGGCAGCGTTGAAGCGGTGAGTGAATGAGTGCAGTTATAATTGTGGTGGCGTGAAGAAGTGGAAGAGATTATTAATATCTTGGCCAGACGGCAATATCGAATAGTCATCGACATATAAGTTCAGGACAACGCCCTAGAAGTAAGAAGAATCTTCGAAATGAAAAAATTAAACAACATTGAGGAGTGAATATCCACCTGCAGAGACCGTTGTTTAATATTTTGCGGCTTAGAATTTTGATATCACACCTCAATCGATAACTGGGGACCACTAAGGAAGTTCATGGTCGTGTCAGAGCTACCTCTTCTCTGGACAAATCAATTGTCGCGCTTGGTCACCATCGATAAGACGGATATTTCACTGTGTCTTGCAGGATGCCGCTAAGTCGCCAGCAAAGACTCGCTCGTGATCCTCATATATAACTTGGGAGTCGGCCTGGCTCAAAAAATTTAAGCTGCAAGTTAACTTGGTTCCTTGCAACGCGCTATCGGCAGGTGCTCCCGGCTCATAAAGTCGACGCTAGTAAAATGGTAGGCGAAGTAGTGATTTGTGGATCTTGGTTACTCCTGCCGAATTACCCGCTGGGTTGTGTGACGGCGGTGTAGTGTTTAAATGCTAAGATTTCTACCATTTCAGGTGATGTGCAGGCCAGAGCTCGTTCAAAAGTGGCCCCAGTCAGTATGAGAATTGAATCTGATGGAGTCACATTCCGACGCACCATGGTCTGACACGTGAAACAGACAACGCGGGGAGCTAGGAAATGTTGAGTGACAACCACACCAGATCTGAAGGTGGATGGGGAGAGTACAGGCCAGGAGAGGTTTTGGGGTTAGTGCTGCGGGAACCTCGTTTAGACCAGGGAAGTCTCTGGGTGGTTGTCCAAAGTGGGTAACAGTGCAAAAGGTACAGCTGTAGAAGCTTGGAGCCCAGTTGAGCGCAGGCATAAAGGGATTTCCGTCATTGCACTGGTTGTATCTTACGAAACAGATGATGATGGTGTCATATTTCGGACACGCATAATAAATGAGCAGTTCGACCAAAGTTGGGTTCGACATCGGCCCTGATGGGTAAGATATGAATCAACAATTCCGCTGGGAGCTACTCCGTTGATGCACTAAAATTGGATGTACATCTTGATCTTAGCTAATGACAGCGCCGTTAATAAAGATTTTATAAATTACGAGGTGTGGCAAATAAGTAATGAGACTGATTCCATAAAAAACGTATGTTTCAAAATTATTCTACAACTCCTGCCATCCCCTTCAAAGTACAACGATTCCAGCGCGTTTTCCATGCTTCTGGAGCTCTTCGACTGGGATGTCCGCGAGTACCGTCGTCACGGCCGCCTGGATGTTCTCAATCGACTCAATCGACGTCAGGGCGCGTTGTCGTGGTGAAGGATCGTTGTATGGGAGCAACCTGTTAACTCGTTTTCGCAATCTTTCGAGTACTTGGCGATAGTAGAATTGATTTACGGTTTGCTCCGGCAGTAGAAATTCTTGGTGGACGATTCCACTGCTATCAAAAAAGGCAATAATCATCGTTAATCCATTTTCGTGACGAGCACCACGAACACTCGTTTACTCAACACGACACAGCAGACGAACTAAACAAGCTAGATGGCAAATATATCAATTGAGAGAGGAAGGATGCCGTGAAAAGCGAAAGGGAATTTCAAGGTCGCAGGGTTACCACAATAACGGCAACATAATCAGTCTCATTACTTAATTGGGCCCACCACGTAAATTTTCATATTTCTAGTTTTAATAATAATTTATTTTCCAATTCTTATCTAATTGATAAGTTTGCCTTGTAGCCAATATTCTTTCAAACTTCAATTTTGTTTCTTAATGAATTTTTACATAATTAAAAAATAATGATTCATTCATTAGCACCAATAAGTTTACTAATCAGCATGTGTGTGTGTGTTATAGTAGCCAACAACACTATTATTTTAATTGATAAAATATTACCACATACCACAGTTAAACACAGATGCCATTGTAATTACTCACATGTGGTTGTGGCAGGCTAGTCGTCAGTCTTCGTGCCTCACGCCGCCAGAGGTCATGATTTCGTTGGATGGTCGATGGGTCGATTGATGAGCGAAAAATCATCATGCAAAGGCAAATTTGCGGTAACTGGTTTTACCGCAAGGGAATTAACATGATTTATTTTAATTTTACGTGCTCACAAACACAAATGTAATGCATGCATACATACACATATACAGAGTCGCAGGTAAATTGTATATGTATGATATATTTATGCACACCTGTCGATTGTTTTATTTGCATAAAAAAAAATATAGAAAATCATCAAAAAAGATGCAATTAAAAATTATTCTACAAATATAATAATACGTTAGTGCATAGATATACATACAGACATATTCAGCAGACAGCATACTATATACTCGTATACTCGCACATGTAAGCGTTCACAATTTCCCATTCAAGAATACTCGCAAGTCGGATGCAAGTGTGTGTGTGCATTTACACCTGTAATTACACTTGTACTTTTAAGTTACATACACATGCACATATGCACATATGTTTATGTTCACATTTGTATGCATTTGGTTAGTAAGAAATTACAATGATTTTCGCATTTTATTACAGATGTCTTGACAGAAGAGACGCGTTGCGAAAGTCTATTAGCGAAACTATTCTGATTTTCAATTATTCAGTTGATCTTGAACAACACATGTCAGTGTACACAACATGGCCTCTGTAAAGTTGGTGAGTGAAGTTACGGTTCTATGTACAAGTGCTGGTGGTGCTCAGTGTTGTATGCATTTTTGAAAAAGGATAATTTGAAAAAAAAAAAATAAATGAGTTAAATATTTTTGTGTGATTTTAATTTTATATTTAATAAGAAAGTGTTTTTCATCATATAATATATATGTATATGATTACATACATTTTTGGTCTAAACTAAATTCCAATATGTTTTTTTTTCGAACCAATCTGCGAATAGTGTTTGTAAATTAATAAAAATATGAGATACAAAATTTTATAAATATAAATTAAAATTATTCAATTAAAAAATGTGTGCTATTGTTTGTATGAAAATGCAAATGTATGTGTGTTATGTGGCAAAATTTTTTTTGTTCTCATGTTTACACCAATCACGAGATTAAACATGAAATTTGAAATATTGTTAAAGGATTTCCTTACTATTGAATATTGATAATGAAAAAGTCATCGTGATTCTTGTCGGACAACACTAATCCACTTAGGTCAAACCAAAGCTGACATTTCAACATACCGGGTATTTAACCCTCTCTGGAATTGTTCACCAGAGCTTCGTCTTACAAAAGAATTTCTATCGACCAAAACTTAAAATGTTGATTCGTCGGAAAAAGCACACCTTAAAAATGTGAATACATTTATTCGTGCGGTTTTCTGAGAGAGAGCTCTACTAGTACTATTTCGCGTCGTGTTCATCTGTGGCTATATTCGTTTCAAAGGTATTGTCATTTCGCGTCTTTTTCAGTAGATGTTATTTGTTTTAGCGTGAACAACAATTTGTTTCATCCATTTGAAAATGCCGAAATATGCACGAGATGGAGTGTTTTTGCGGCGCGTACTTCTTCATTACTTTAACATGAAAAAAAAGTTCCACCGAAAGCCGTCGTATTTTACTGAATGTTTATGGTGACCATGCTTTAGCCGAACGAACGTGCCAAAAGTGGTTTGCACGATTTAAAAGTGGCAATTTCGACTTAGACGACGGACAGCGATAAAAATTTCAAGACGGATAATTGGAGACATTGCTCGACGCAGATGCAAGAAGAACTTGCAAAAGTATTAGGAGTTGATCAAGCAACCGTTTACAGGCGATTAAAATCATTTTTTCACAATAAAGTCTTAATATTCGAAAAAAACCCTCATGAATTAATGCATATACCCAATAATAGAATGAGTAGTAGAAAATATCATATAGTACTGACTCTATTCCAGTTTGCAATGGTTTTTTGGCAGGCCGACGTCTGTTCAGTTTCTCTTCGACCAACCGCGGCCGCATTGACCTTTCCGAAATCTGTACGCCCTCAGTGTTTATTAAGTAGTCAATAGGGAAACGCTTTTTTCCGATTTTCAAGGCAAATATTTCTTATTTGTCGATCAGTGCGAGGTGTGGTGATCCTTTTCTTGCCACATTTTCCTAAACGATTCGCCTCAAGAGGTAATTTTATTCGATTGACATCATTTACCCACACAAATATACTCTATAAATTATATAAAAATGAGCACGGTCTCTAATAATCTGGCCACCCACTGTAATATTGCGTTAGGATATTTTTAAAAATCTTCATTCGTGTGAAAAAATATTTTTTTTACTATGAAGTAAGTGAACGTCGGGATCAGCATTCGTTTGTTCGATTCCATTTCAGAAATTTTGAGTTCAGAGATTGAACTCCATCTGGTCGGCCAATCACTCAAAAAGCGGAAGAAATTCTGCAGCTGACAGAGCAAGGCCGGTCATGTGATAGTTTGGATTCATTTAACAAATTTTACAAATGGCTTAGTGTTTGGGTGCAACATGAATTAACTCAACAAAAAATTTGATTGATGGAGTTACTATCAATGAAACGCTTCCGAAACACTACAGAATCGAACAATTTCTAAAGCGAACCATTTTACGGTCGATGAAAATTAGGTTTAATATGAGAATATAAAAAGGAAAAAAAAACATGATCAAAGACCGGTGACCCTCCTTAAACGACTTCAAAGAATTGATGGCAAATAAGCTGATGATGACTAAACATGTGGTGAGATTGTAAGGGAATTCTCTATTATATACTATTGCGACCTGGCGAAGTGATCAATTTTGAACTTTGACTTACAACAAGCTTTCCAAAAAAGTGTCTTGAATTGATTATGGAAAAAAATTTATATTTCATTATGACAACACCAGACCTCAAATGTCTTTGATGATTTTGCTAAAATTCACGTAGCATGGTAAGGAACTTTGAATTCAATCATCATAAAGCACAGAATTGTACCGTTCGACTACCGTTCGTTTCGGTCATAGCAAAGCTCTCTGGATGGGAAAAAAGTTGGCTGACCGAAGACCCGAAGAAAATCATAAGCCTCAGAAGTACTACAATAATGACATTCTGCAGTTTACGAAAATCTAAATTTTAGTTTTAACCTGTAGAGAGCTCAAACATTTCACGCAACTTTTATAAATTTATTTTTACAATAATTATAATATCTACTTTTAGTTGCTCGCTGCTTGCGTTCTATCAGCCCTCTCGCTCTCAGCAAATGCTGGTCTTTTGGATTATATTTATCCTGCAATTATGACGGAGTTCTATAGCCAAGTGCCCACAAAGGAGGGCTATCGCTTCAAGTAAATGAACAATTGTTGTTGTAATTTTATATTTAGCTTTAATATTTCACATTAACTTTTCTTAATCTTCTTAAAGACTCGAAGAGCCGAATGGTAGTAAACGTGAGGAAATTGGTGTTGTAATGAATCCTGACACACCCGACGAACAATTGGTCATTATGGGCATGTATACGGTGTATGATGAGAAGACAGATACGGAGACAGTGACGATGTATACGGCGGATAAAGATGGTTACAAACCGAGATATATGTTGAAAAATCGTAAATTAAGTGCGAAAACGTTAATGTCCAGTGCGGGTTAAGAGTTGGAGTGTTCATTTAAATAAATTAATTATATATGCATTTTACGTACATACATATATATTTCACAAACATATATTAATAATTGCATATATACTCATACATATATACATAGCAAACATAACTGCTACATAATATAGTTGGTAATTTATTAGTTATAAAATTTTTTTTGAAATCGATACAAAATAAAAGCCCTAAAAATTTAAATAATAATGCTTTCTCAAGACTTAACAAGGAAACGAAGGATATAGGTCTGATAGTGAACGAGGGCAAGACGAAATATCTCCTGTTATCAAGCGAACAGTCATCACACTCGCAACTGGGCTCCCACATCACTGTTGACAGTCGTAGATAGAGCCAGTATTAACACCAACAACAATATCAGCCTAGAAATTGAGCGCAGAATCACTCATGCCAACAGGTGCTACTTTGTACTGAGTAAACAATTGAAAAGCAAAGTCCACTCCCGACGAATCAAAACCATACTCTACAAGTCATTCACCATTCCCGTGCTGCTATATGCTGCGCAGTCATGGTCGATGACAACATCTGATAAGTCGGCATTAGAAGTTTTCGAGAGAAAGATTTTGCGTAAGATTTATGGTCCGCAGATAATAGAACGATGAGCTGTACGAGCTATATGATGATAATGACATAGTTCACCAATTCAAGGGACAGCGGCTACTTTAGCTAGGTCATGTGGTCATAGGTAAATGAAAGAGCTCCAGCCTTGAAAGTTTTCGATGAAGCTGCCGTCTGTGACAGCAGAAAGAAAGGAAGACCTCCACTCAGTGAGAAGGATCAGTTTGAGAAGGTCCTAGCTGTGCTTGGTATCTCCAATTTGCGCCGAGTAACAGAAAATAGAAACGGATGGCGCAAATCGTGTGAGCGGTGTCTACGTCACTAAAGTAGAAGAAGAAGAAGGGGAAGAGAAGTTGAAGAAGAAGAAGAAGAGGAAGAAGAAGATGAAGAAGAAGAGGAAGAAGAAGATGAGGAAGAAGAGGAAGAAGAAGAGGAAGAAGAAGTTGAAGAAGAAGAAGAAGATGAAGAAGAAGAAGATAAATAATAAGAAGATGAAGAAGAAGAAGAATAAATATAAATATTCCATAAATTATTTATTATATTTATAAATTATATTTATTTTTAGTTACAATTTTATTCATCCCCGAGCTTCATCATGCCAGCCACAAAGTTGGTGAGCTTGTATGTATATAAGTCTTTTATGCAAAAAAAAAAAAAAAAAAAAAAAAAACTAATAATAAATTTGATAAAATTATAAAATCTTAAATAGAAAAATACATTTAATGATTAACAAACAATCAACAATTAACAATCCCTCTGACAGTTCAAACCTTTTGAGAATTTTTTTTTAGTAACTGATTTTAATTTCTTTTTTCCACACAAACACGTACTGGTAAATATGTATGTGTGTATGTGAGGGCGTGTTAAAATAAATATTTTAATATTCATTAATCGTTACACTCAAAAGTAAGCGCGTGCATATTTGTGTTGTTGTTTTCATATTAAAACCAAACTAGTTGTCTGTTTAGAAGGTCATTTCTATCATCTTCGCGATCTTGACTTTTTACGACACATTGGTGGCTTGAAATGCGGTGAAACCAGAAAATGGATTAAGAAAAAAAAATTTTTTGTTTATTTTTTGTTTGTTTATTTTTCTCTAAAAAACTGGAAACACCTTTTCATTTTATTGGTAATTCATAGAAATTAGCACTGAGTTTTTTTCCCGCTAAAACTTGAATTTGTATTTTTTTTATTTACTTATTGGTATATTGTTAATAAAAATATAAAAATTAATTAATTTATTTATCGCAATTAATATAAAGTGTCAGCAAAAACAGAAATTAACAAATAATTATTAATTTTTAAAAATACCATAGATAATTAGTAACATTTTTGATTGCTATTAATAGTTAGTTTATGCTTTTTTTAATTGAATAAATATAACATCTGAATAAAGTATGTGAGTCTATGTATGTATTGTAGTATAATAACTAACGCTATATTGTATTTTTATATTTTTTTTCTCAGTTACTAGCTTTTGCCATACTGTCAACCCTCGCAATGACCATCACCGTTGGTGTACTGGATTCCGAGTATCCATGGATTAAAACAAAGTTTTATAGTTTAGCACCGAGCAGGGAAAGTTACCGTTTCAAGTAGATTTTGCTAATTTGTTTTTACTTAGAATTTTTTATTAATATGAAATAAGTTTTCTTTCAGTTTGGAATAACCGATTGGCAACAAACGTGAAGAAATCGGAGTGATAATGAATCAAACTAGCCTTTCTCACTTGGTGGAGGTCGTCTTCTTTTTCTGCTTCCGCCGGTAGGTGTTGCATCGAAAACTTTCACAGTTGCAGTACTCTTATCCATACCGACCATACGGCCCAGTCATCGGGTGCTTCTTGATTCGCTGAACTATGTCAATGTCGCCGTATAACTCGTACAGCTCATCATTCCATCGGCGGCGGTATGCGCTGTTCCCAACACGTAAATCTTATGCAAAACCGTTCTCTTGAAAACTCCTAATGCCGACTTATCAGATGTTGTCATCGACCATGACTGCGCACCATATAGCAGCACGGGAATGGTGAATGACTTGTAGAGTATGGTTTTGATTCGTCGGGAGAGGACTTTGCTGTTCAATTGTCTACTCAGTACAAGGTAGCACCTGTTGGCATGAGTGATTTTGCGCTGAATTTCTAGGCTGATATTGTTGTTGGTGTTAATACTGGCTCCAAGACAGACGCAGATATCTACGACTTTAAAGTTATGACTGTCATCACTGTTGACCCAATTGCGAATGCGATGACTATTCGCTTGATGACAGGAGATATTTCGTCTTGCGCTCGTTCACTATCAGACCTATATCATTCGCTTCCTTGTTAAATCTGGTAAAAGCATACCTTACGACGCGCTTATTGTGGTCACTGGCATTAATATCATGGGTATACGCCAGCAGCTGTACTCTCTCATAGACACTTGCAATTTTTCTATTCAGCATTGCAACTCTTATTATTTTCTCCTGCAAAAGTTAAGGAAGACACGCGATGAGAAATCACCTTATCCCCTCCTGTCGGAGGCTTATGGATTGGAATCAACTCAATATTTGTATTTTATGCTTAAAAAGTTTAAATTTTTTAATTTATAAATTTTTTTAACTCAAATTATATCCAAGCCTTTTATTGCCAGCTGTCGTCAGCTGTTTAAGATTTTATTTCGAAAAGAAAACTGAGTCTTCATAAGCAACTTTTGGGTTTTCTAAAACAAATGTAGCATGCAATATTGTCGTGCTTCACTGCGTACTTCGAAAGGCTCACAAAGATTTCCATTGAGAAGGATAATACTCAAAGCTTTTCCTTAAGTACTCACGTTTGGAATCCTTAGCAAAGAAATTCTCTAAGTAGATCATCGGAAGTACGAAACTTTGACTATATCTTCAAATTTTTGAAAATTCCAAAATAAACCTGGATAATCTTCGCCTTCGATGTGTACCATTTTTCGCCATTTGAAATTATTTTTTATTTTCTTTACAGATTTTATTAGTAGGGTTTCTGAACTTCGAATATGGATGTGCAAATTCGAAAAAGACACAGAAAATAAATAAATTTGTATTTTTGCATATAAAAACATATAAAATGTCAATATAAAATGTAACCTGAATAACATTTAACGATATTATTATACATATACAATTCATAACTATGTATGCAAGTGAGTATGCATTAAATGAATAATTAATGATAATCTTTTGTAAAGTGAAGCCAAATATTTAATAAAACTAAGTTTTCGCTTGGTAAACTGTCTCAGTCAGTTTTGTGATCCTCAGAAAGCTTCAACATGGTTTCGGCGAAATTGGTAAGAAATACTCGTACATATGTATGTACACGTATGTGCAAATATCAAGGAAATCAAATATCAAAAAATGTGAAATAATAGAAGTGTGTCAAAAGGCTTTAAAAGCAAAAGTATCCAAACTCCTTAAAAAGTACTGCAGAAAAAGTTTACTATTTGAAAAAAAAAAATGAAAAATGAAGAAAGGTTCAAAGAAGTCACCAATGTGAAAATATATTTGCGAATTTCTTGGTAGACAAACAAAATATATATTAGGCCAAGTAAAACGTCATCCATTATTTTTGCAATAAATGGCTTAGTGATCTGCATCTCGCGTTCTATAAGTGTGATTGGTTTACGTTAGATGGCTTTAGACAGATTATATTTTGAAGTAGAAAACTTTCTTCGAAAACGCAAGTCAGGCAACTGAAAATGTGAAAAGTGTTCTGATACTGTAACAATCAGTCATGCACAATCTTGCACACTTTTGGTTGATTTCATTCCACGGTGTGGAAAGCCATTTGTCGACTATGCCATAACTTAAGGGAAATCATCAAGTTTGACCGTCATCCGAGCCCAAGAGCTAAAGTTAATGTTAAACACACATAGAAATTCCTTGTGCCACTTAAATCAACGAGAAAAGACCTGATGAAGCAAATTTCTATCTGCGAATCGCTGCTGAATCGTGATGCCGGGTGATGAAAAGTGTTTCAATTCAAGCAACGTCAAACGATCAAACATCAGCAGTCATGTCTGAAGGGTAGTGAGCTGGCACAAACAGTTTTCAAGCCAGGATCGACAGTCGGAAGGTTTGGTTGTATGATTGCTGGGATTGGCAGGGAATCATGCACCATTAGCTACAGTCTCTGTAGGCAAATCGCCCAAAAGTGCCCAGCTTTAACCAACGGGAGGAGAATTGTGTTTCATCAGTGCACGCTAGATCACTCCCATCGATAGTGGCTCGCCAGATGATCCGAAAGCTTGGTTGGCAGGTTTTTGTGCATTCAACTTATAGTGCGTTCCTCGCACCGAGTACTTATCATCTCTTACTGTCTATGTTGAATCATGTGGCTGGAGAAACGGCCTCAAGAGAAGTCTGTGAAAATCAATTGGCAAAATTTGTGTGCCATTAGAGACAAGGGTCTCTATGTGAGGGGCCTATCTTCACAATAGCAAAAACTTATCGATCAGAATGGTGCATATTTGACATAAATCGCATAATTCTAACAGTTTAATGCAAAAATGAAAAAATATGAATTTTTATATAATTTAATTTTTATATAGAAACCAAAGTGAAAGTGCTGCAGACCCACTGTTAGTAATGAAGAATTTATGATTCAAGGAAAACCACAACAATTAGATTAAAAAAGTATTAAACAAAAAACTGATCGTGAAATATTCCATTTCAGTTCCTGGTTGCAGCCATCGTGGCCACACTAACCTTTACCGTAAATGCTGGCTTACTGGATAAAATTTACCCCACTGTGATGGAGAAATTCTACAGTTTGGTGCCCACAAAAGAGGGTTATCGCTTCAAGTGAGTTATCTGCAATAACGCTTATTATTAATTAATAATAAAAATATCACCTTTAAAAAGTCTAGAAGAACCGAATGGCAGCAAGCGTGAGGAAATCGGTGTGGTTATGAATCCGGGCACAAAGGATGAAGAACTAGTCATCATGGGTACCTACACAGTTTACGACGAGAAGACAGACACCGAAACGATTACCATGTACACAGCTGATAAGGATGGTTACAAGCCACGCTATATGATCAAGAATCGTAAATTGAGCCCTGGTGCATTGAAATCTGCAGCTGGTTAAAGGAGAGCCTGTGGTTTTTTTTTTTATTAAAAAAGAAAAATAAGAACTGATTTAAATTTAATTTGTTAGCAATAACTGGGGAATTTATTACATAATAATTTTCTCATGAACTTCAGTGCATAAGTTTCCCAATCGTTACTCGCAGCAGTCCTTTCTTTATTTGGAATAAAGATTTATTTATAATTAAGTATGGTTATTCCGTAAGTAAATCGGTTTTTAATTTATTCGTTATTCATCTGTTGGTATGAAGATAAAAAAGGTTTGTATTGCTTAGCAAAAATAAAATAATTTGTTAATGATAGTCGTTAGATCTTCCAAGGTATTCGGTCATCTCATTTCAATGCGACTGGAAATAAATTTCTTTAATAATTATTTTTTATAATATTTGAATTAAAATTTTCGTATTTTGTACATCGGTTTAATTCGTCATTTTGTGCCAACATATCTGCTAAATTTTATATGCTTTTCTTTTGCATTTATATGTATACGCAAACTTGTTTGGCTTTATATTCGAGCACAGTTAAAATGCTACTAGAAAGTTCTGGGCAAATAGTGAATTTATGATCTGGACAGGTCACCTTACAGCTGAGGCCTACCACTAAGGACCTACGTATTTTATGGGTTAGCAAGTTGCCGTGGAAATCAATTTAGAGCAGCAAATGCAGCCATAGCACCCGACCGTAATAGAATATACAAACACGAGTATTTTCTGCGGGACAACCGTCACTAACGGCATCGACAAGCAGTGACAAATTTACATTTATATGGCGCTGTCATAAGATAGGTTTCTATGGGCGGAAGGTACGTAAGATGGGTAGTTGCAGCATAAGGCATCTGCGGCCCTATATAAGTGTAAATTTTGGGCTGTATTTGGGGTCTCCCCCGATATCTCTCACTTTATCCACGTGGCGATTGTTAAGCAAATACCTTTCTGCTGTGTTTTAATATAGTGAAAGGCAACGAGCAAGATAAAATATCTGTCTAGACTGGAAAAGGTCTTCAGACTTTCATTGATCAACATCACCAGGGCGCTCAAAGCAGCACCATCTGCATGCGATTTCGAGAGATTCTACCGGCAAACTACATACAGTAGTAGCTGAAAACTGGTAGTTCCTAAACGCAGCAAGGCTCTATGCTTCTAGACAGCTGAAAATCAGAACTTACGGGCAGAGTAGTCCAGCCTTACTCCTTTATCCCTGAGCGTACGAATAGACTCCGTAATCGCGCACCTGTTCTCGGGAAGCTGATGTCAGCTATAGCCATAATAGTAGCGCATGGCTGCAGAAATGTGAGAAATATGTAGACAAAACTCTTCATATTTTTACAGAAGACTCTAAAATGAGCGCAGGAGTGGGAGCTTTAGTTTACTGTGCCCAATTAGAGACGAGAGAGGCATTTCAGTTGCAAAAATTACCATCGAATCTTCCAAACCGAAATATTTGCCATAAAAATGACGGCAGAGCTACCGCAGGGTGCAAGCTTTCAAAAGAAGAAGAAGAAGAGAGAATAATTATTGTGGATAGCCAAATGATCAAAGCCTTAATTTCAAACACCGCGAAGTTGGCAGTGATCACACGTGTATTGAAGGCAATGAGGTGGCTGAAGAATCGGCAAAGAGGGTATCCTACATGAAAAGGACGAAAAATAAACCTAACAATTTTATTCAGAAAGTGAAGCAAATGCAAGAAAAATATACTTTGGGTACGAGCTTAGAATGGTAAGTACAGAAAATGTAGGGAATATTTGGCGATAGTGGAGCACATAACCCGGTAGTCTCCAACATTCGGCAGACAAAGGCTATAATTACTTGGCACAGAAAGGCACAGAAAGGCAATAGCTAAGGAGGCGAAAAGCCTACCTCAATTTGCGAAACAAGCGACTATGTTTTTCACACTAGACGCAAAATTAGGAGTGTAGCAGTAACATCGTAACATCGTCTACGTAAGATCCACTGGGTCGGCTAGCTCCATCTAATTAACCTAACCACGATAACAAAAATAAAGGAAATTAAGAAAAAGTAGGTATTTTGATGTCATGAAATGACCTGTCGTGAATTTTGGTCAGCTTTTTGGTCTCACCTAAATGCAGTACGAGGAAACTAGATTTCTGTCGGCGAGTTATAATTGAATCAGAAATTTCTCTCACCAGTGGCACACTGATAGAAAGGTGTGAAGTCAGGTCCTTCTCCATATAAGTTTTTTAATAGAGAGAAACTCTCCCACCACTTCCAGCAACGGGTACGGCATTGAATACTTTCAGAGATACTTCGCTTTCTCTTCTTTTACTGCAAGATCCATAAGATTCCTTATCCAGTCTGGAGAGCTTAAGGCCAAGAATCTCTATATCAATGGGGTACGCCAGCAACAGTACACTCCTTTAGAAGATTATACCTTCTCTAATCAGCTCTGCAGCTTTTGCTATTTTTTCCAGCAGCATATTAAAAGGGTCTTAGGATTGTGATCTTGTCATCTTGTCTGAAATCCAGTTAGGTATCGAACGGTTAAAACGTCCTTTCCGACGGGGCATTTGTTGTTGCTTTAGATCAGTTTACATAGTTCATATATAACTGAGTAGACGTAGCTTCTATGCAGGTTGTCGAAGGATGCTTTAAAGACGACGAAGAGGTGCTATGAATCTGTTCTCCAGCAGATTTTCCAAGACCTGTTATTTGGTGAATATCTGGTCAATAGTTGATTTACCAGGATTTAGCATTGCTTAATGTCATTCGAGATTTGAAATTAATTTAAATAAAAAATTTAACTAAATTTTCTATTTGCGGTCGCCCCTCGGCAGAGAATGTCCACCCCTCCGAGTGTATTTTGGACATGACATAAAGGTTCCTCGTAAAAACAATCAGCCGTTTGGAGGCGGCTTAGTACAAACTATAGGTCCCTTCATTTCTTGGAAAAACATCAAGACGCAAAACCACACATTGGAGTAGGAGCTCGGCCGAAAATCGCTTCAGCGGTTACAAAGCGCCAATCATATATACGTGTATATATATATATAAAGCCACACACATGAGATCTAACGAGTTTGGAGTGGTTACCTTTATTTAGTCTTTCATACATTGCGCTCGATAGAGCTTTATACGAGATATCGAAAAGCTTATCGCTCTTTTTATGGATTTGGTAAAGTATACTCGGGTTCTCGGCCGTGGGTTAACTGCTCGGCCGGCTATTGCAATTCGAACTTAGCGTAACCTAGGGCAGTTCAATGAGCAAACATAGTATTTTTGGCTATCATTGTTACGGAAATGAAACGCAGCATCATTCTTGTATGACTTAGCTTTAAACAATGCGGATAAAAGACAACATGCGGAGTGTGGTTTCCCGCAGTTGACTGATTATTTCTCAAAAACTGTAAAAATCATACAAATGCAGAGAAACAAATTTAATAGTTTTGTATACAAACATTTTCTGCATATTTAATATTCATCTATGTATTTGTTGTGGATTTTTATGAATGAAACTAATACATTGAAAGTTGCGAGTATTACAAGGAGATATACAAAAGCATTGCGTATAATTTACGCATACATATATGTGCCAACCTACAGACATATACATATACATATGTAATCGTTAAATGGCGAATCATTTACTCTTCTCATATTGTTCTTGCTTTCGTAAAACGATTTTGGGATTTTCTCGATTTTAACTGAAAATCGTGATTCCCATTACGTAGATTTTTCGTAATTCCTTACAACTTTCGAATGTTCTCTCGCGTTCCTCTTAAATGCTCTTTGTAATTACGTCATTCGCGTTATAAACCATTTGCTGCCGGTTGCATGCTCTTGGTTTTTACATATACTTTTTTGTTGTCTTCAAAAATCATCTCATTATTGCCGACGGTTGTGGTGATTTTCAGTTGTTGATTGCCATGTTTCAAGTTTTTGTTTATTTTTATTGTATTTTTTATTTTGTTTTATTTCTTATTTTCTACACGTATGTATCTTAGACCGGTTTAATCAAAGAGTAGAAACTAAAAGCTTAAATCTATTGAATTTTGTTAGAAGAAAACAATAAAACAACAAACACGATTTAAATACACATGTAAAGATATGAGCAAATACACGTACGTATGTATGTATGTATAATATTTGAAAACAAAAATTTGAAATAACTGGTATCTCTCGTTCTCACAGAGAACACCGACGTGCATTAAATCTATGAAGATTCATAAAAACTATTAGCAATTAATTATGACAATTTGCAATTTTGAAACGAAAGCGAAATGTTTTACAAAATTGTTGATCATGCTTCAGTCAGTTTTGTGATCTTCAACAAGCCTCAACATGGCATCCGCTAAGCTGGTAAGTTTTTGAGTTCAAGAATTTTCTATACTTCTGGTGAAGGCAAGTGCTTGAGATGTTAACGAAGGTGAAGTGGGTGTGATTTTTTGTGTTCAGAAAAACAATTTAAAAAAAATTTAAAATAAAAAAATTAATTATATTAAATTTAAAAAAATAAAATAAATTAAATTAATCAATAATAATTAAATTAATCACTTAATATCAAGACAAAATAAAAATATTTAATACCTTCAAGCGAAATATTTTATAAAAGTGTTTCATCGAAAGTGTTTTGCTGCAATTTTTTTTAATAATACTAAACACTTTTAATAAGAGAAGGACTTCGAAAGGGCATAACGCTGAATTTTTTTATTTTTAAATATTTAAGTGCAGCGCCTAGCTCTCTCTCTCTCTCTCTCTCTGTCTGTCTGTCTTTTACGCAGCGGGTTTTACAATATATCCTTTTATAAAATTTCAAGAGCGAAAACAATTAGAAACAGGTGTTTTTTAAATAATATAATGCGATAAGATTTTCTTTAAGCCATTCTTAAGATAATTCGCTTTTCAACTGGATTATGCTTGGATCTAAAAGGAAATGATTTAAACTTTAAGCTAAGCTGTACACCCAGCAGAGATACCCGAAATTGTTGTCCTTTTGAAGATTCTTTTTTAGAAGTGGTGAATTTCAAAATAGTTTTGTTAGTGAAAACAACAAAGTTAAGGCTTTTTTATGAATCATAACCTGGAATTCTATCAAGAATGAAAGAAAAAAATATTAGAAAGGACATTAAAGACAAATTAATGGTCGTTATAATCTGTAAGACATGTTATACTCTTCTTACACTCTCTCAGAAAATGGAAGAGCGGATCAGTGGAATGCATGACTGGTTATTTCATCGATTCATGTGGAGAAGGCAGGAAAGGTTCAGCCCTCCGAGTTTATTTCTGACATGACATAAAAAACAACTCACAAAATACCGTCGAAGCAGGACCGACAATCGCTCCAGCGGTTACAAAGCGATATTTTATATACGTATATACATATATATATGTATTTATACGAGTATGTGGAGAGGTTACATTTACTTTATTGAACAAGGATGACCGAGGTAGCACAACAGTCAGAACGAAAATTGGCTCTAATGGAGAAAACGCTGTTTTGTGAGTTTTTTAAACACCCCTATGCTCTGAGCGCCGTTTTTGGATTAGATTTAAGAAGTTTTTTCTAGTAACATATGTATTTATTTACTGAATCTGTTTCGATATTAGAAGACTCACAATATGTTATCAAATTTTAAAAACAAAATTATCTGGTAATGGTTTACTGGCTCACTGTTGCTCTTTGCAAGGGTAGTAAGTTCCTTCACCTCAGGCAGGCTTGCATTGTTACGGAGGCCAAGGTGATAGCCGAAGGTTGCGGACGATCGTGAAGTTTTGTTACGTATTCAATTTATTTTCCTCTTTGATGGTGTGGATATTTTGAAGTACCATGATTGAAATCTTTATATTATATCTAAATTCGTCGTGCCATCTGTGCACCATAACTGGATACCATACATCCTCATCAGTTTTATATATTATTTTCTTTCTTCTTCAAATATTAATGCCTATTTAAGCTTGGTTTCTGCTGGAATAAATAGGATTTTTGCATAAGGCTATCGGTAGACTTGCCATTCGCAATGCAAACGTCACTTATTGCGGACCAATAACTCTATTCCGCTTTTAGTTATCAATATTTTCGTTTTTGGTTGTGTTTTCTGCTTTGCTTCCATATTGAAGAAGTGATGGAACGTTGCTTACGAACTGTGGTCGAGCGTATAAAACAGAAGAAGTAATGAAAATTAGTCTATGGGTCTTAAGCGCAAAATGCGTCCTAGAATGTAGTAAAAAATGAAAAGAAAGGATTTGAAGTAACCCTCGAGCAAAGTGGTGCTTCGCTGTCGATCAATCTAATTTTACTTACCGATATAAACGTGGATTAGCTGGAGGAAAAATGCATGTAAACTGAGAGCCAAGAGTGTTGATCCACCCTAATAAATACCAACGAGAAGTTGACGTTGTTTCGTTAGGAGAGTATATTTTTTTCCTAAATAATAATCTAATTTTTTTAAGCTAGTCAAACTTCGATATATTTATCGTGATGTTAATGCATGCCACACTGTTAAGCATCAAAAGCTTCACGCATAGATTTCCCTTCTTTATTGGAATGTAGCATGACAAATCATTTTAAGAGTGAGTACTGTTATCTATTCCGTTTCGGAATTCCACTTTCTGTGAAATCTAGCAACATCGGCCACCTAATGAACGGCTTTCTTTACATCAGCGACATCAAGATTGGACTCCTGTGGAGGATCGGTCTCCATTTAATACCCATTTGGGAATACATCAGGAATTCCCGCCCGCAAATAGAACATATTTTCACGTAGATTAAAGAATAAATTTTGTATTATATATATTTTGTATTAATCCTTTAGAATCTCTTAAAACAACTCAACTAAAACCTCTCTTACTTTCGTCTAATGTCAACAAGATATATATTACCCGTACCTTTCTTCAAATTAGGCTCCAGTGGCGTGGTTAAATTTACTTCTTCTGAGCTAAGGAAATGTTCATGAAAATATTAAATTTTTTTTTAATTCTATAAAGTCGCATTTCAAACTGTAAATTTATTTGACATTAACGATGCAGCTAAATAACTTTGTCGTATTTTATTTAAACATTTAAAAAGAACAAGAAATTACATAAAAGGAAAAACAACAACTAAGGCGGATGTGGTAATAATTAAGATGATGATAAATACGCATAAAAGTGGGAAAATTAATGACTCAAAAATTATGCCAGCAAATCTGATAATAAATTTAAATTTCATGTGGTTATGAGCTAATACATAATTTATTTCAAACACAGATTTAGAAAATGTGTCAATCGATGAACATAAATTAATTTTAAACTTACTAACAGAATATTGGCGGCTGAAAAACTTGTTTACGCATCAAAGGCCTTTCAAATATTTTTAGTATTTTTATCAAATTTTCAACTTTTTTTAATTTATTTTTTTTATTTTTATTATTATTTTTTGTTTACTAGTGATAATATTTACGAGTCACACGGTAACTAATTATGTTTTATAGTTTGAAGGTTAAGCACAATGTTTGTTTGTGTTCTTAGCTTTTGACTTGAAGTTAGTGGTGATTTACTATTTTATTTATCGATAATTTATCGTTACGTTCTTTACCAGAAAATTTGTGTAAGAATTTGATTAAATTTTAATTTTTTCTTGCAGTTTCTTGCCGTTGCCATTTTGGCAACATTCTCGCTCACCGCAAATGCCGGTTTTCTGGATTATGTTTTCCCCACACTTATGTCGGAATTTTACAGTCAAGTGCCCACAAAGGAGGGTTATCGCTTCAAGTAAGTATTCGTGGTTAATACGAGTATATATTTTTTTCAGAGAAAAATATGTGAATTTAATTTTAAAATATACCTTTTATATAGTTTGGAAGAACCAAATGGCAGCAAGCGTGAGGAAATCGGTGTGATAATGAATCCGGGCACAGACGATGAACAACTGGTGGTGATGGGTTCATATACGGTGTATGATGAGAAGACCGATACCGAAACGATTACAATGTATACCGCCGATAAGGATGGTTATAAGCCACGCTATATGATCAAGAATCGTAAATTGAGCCCTGGTGCATTGAAATCTGCAGCTGGTTAAAGCATGAAGATTTTTATTTTTTTTTATTTAGATAAACAAGTTTTAAATGTTATTTAATTTTCGTATTTTTTTTTTTCAAAAGTATTTTGTACTCCCTTTTTCTCATGATAACTGCCATTTTTGTATAAAAAATAAAAATTTATTTCTAATTTAGAACTGTGGTTTTGGTGAGTGCACTCGTATATTTTAGGCTTTGAAAACGAAATTTCATAGAAAGACGAGGATAATCGATTTAGCCATCCATGACTGTTTATCTATCGGCGTGCATTATGGACTCAAGTCAGGATTGAGCTATTTTGCTGAAGCTTGGCTCAAAAATTCCTTGGGTCACAAGTACGGATAACATTGCAATCAGGTGAAAGAGAACCAACCAAGTTCACGCCATTTCTCATAGATAATGGTAATTTTGAGAAAAAGAAATTATAGATAATTTCGGGTGGGCGTGGCACCAAATATTTTTGGCTCAAAACTATATTTCGAAACCGCTGGATAGAAAACAGAATAAATTTGATACTTAGTATTTCTATGGTCGACGACGAGTTGAATACGAGAGCAATTGAGCAGCAACTACACCTTTGTCCGATAAAACGGACTTTTAAGTTGCCACCCGTCGCTTTACTGACGACTCGAATACATAAATTAAATAGATTTGAAACGTGGTAGATAAGCCATTTTTGATGTGAGCTCAAGTCCTCCCAAAAATGACGTCAATAATTCTAGCTCTCATATATATAATAAATGTGGATTCAAGTATCCAATGTTTCGCACCAAATTTCGTTTTAAATTTCACTGAGAAAGAAAAATTTACCTAAGCTAGCCGGAAGAGTTTATAATAGTATTTTTGTAAAGGGTCTTCCAATGAGAGGTGATAATTTGATATTCAAGGAAAATGGAATTTTTTGAGAAAATGATCGGATATTTATTTCAATGTAAAGAGGATGATATGTCATTAATAATGGAAAATAATATCAGCCAAATGGCTGACCGTATCCTTTTTATGAAAATTTCCAACACCAAATCGCAAAGTGGCTGCTGTGTGCTCTCAATAGCGTTGCGAACTCCATCTTTGAGGTCCTGAACTCACGTGATCCTAAAGGAAGACCAAGGTGTTGAATCACAAGATCTTGGTGGCTAATAGCAATCTTCCTCAAGAGATCAATATGCAGACTATTCAAAATAACACCTCTTATTGGAAACCCCTGTACTGAAAGGTAGCTTGCCACCTATGTTAAAATTCTATTACCAATTAAATTAATAAAAATTCATTTAATGGCCAATAAGTTTATTTTAATTGCAATTCGCTTCGTTCGGTGAGCAATTTGATTGATGTGTTGTGTCAATGTATTGTACATACATTCGAGTACATATCACCCTCTAATTCTGTATGCAAATTTATTTATGAGTAAATTTGAGTAGCAGTTTTGGAAACTGATCCCTTGAATACTGTCGCGTTCTCGCCATTATAATGAAATTATGATCGCATATAAATATATTCGAGAGTCATACACCTTTGTTGTTATGTACAATATTTAATTACAGCTCGTAATTATCAGTTTTGAAAATCTCTGTATTATTTAATTCTACTTTGTATATACTCGTATCTGCATAAAGATCTATGCTTTTTACGTAACTTCTTGACTTCCACATATGCATTTTTTCCCAACATTTATGGCACAGCCATAAAAATTCAAGTTCATTTTTCTTGTCAATATTATGGCAACTTAAAGATTTTACTGCCAACTGATTTATGCACTGCTGGCATGCACTGTGGTGCAAATGTGAGTTTTGTTTAAAGAAAATGTGGGTGTGAAAATTTAATTAAATTTCCTAAATGTTTTGTATTTTATGTTTTAGTATTCGGTGCAATCGCTCGAAGTCTTCTTTGAACCTTCTAGAATAACGAACCAAAGGTCTTATACGTCGATTTCATTGAAATTACGAACCCTTTTACCGAGCGCACTGGGCCGCTCCGATATATATTTTGTATGTCTCAAAATTTTGAATGTATTTTTCTCGAATTACGTTTTTTAAGTTGGCTCACCGCATAACTCAAACAATTTCAACACTGTCAAATGACTTGTTTCTTACACCTTTTTAATATTATTTCGAGGATAAAAACTTACCCGTATTCGATAACCTAAATTAAACTATAGTAATGAACAATAAGCTACCGTCTTTTTTGGTCGAAAAATTAGTTTTTTTCTCAAATGCTTCCAAATTTCACAAAAATCAATACTTTTTAAAATCCTCTTGGCACTTTCTAGCTATTATCATGTAGATTAACAAAAAATTTTTATTTTGCTGCAGATTCTATTTCCACCCAGTGTGCGGAGCTTCTACAATAGATGAAAAATCACTTTACAAAAATGTCCATAGTTCCGCCAATTTAAAATATGTTTTGTAGTAAATTCAATTTTTTCCTGATTAAATGTGAAACTGATAAGATCTCAAAACATTATGATTATTGGCTTTCTTTCAAATAAAAAAAAATTTTAAAAAGCTGTTTTTTTTTTTTGGGTTTTTGGCCTTACCTCTTAAGCTGTGACAGACGAGCTAAATAAAATTGCATTAAATAACTCATATATAAAGAAGCGCATCGAATTTCTTTCCTTCCTCTACTTGTCAGTATACATAACCATTCACGATACTACAACTACAACTAAGAGAATAGGCTAGCAAACGAAAGATCAAAATCAATATGAAATAAGACAGAAGAGCTGTTTTTGCTGATGCCGAAGCCTTCATAGCTTCCATAGTCAGTCGAGGTGTGACAATTAAGTGCGGAGACAACCATTGTGAGCTTGGGCACGACTAAGAGCACTATCACCATGCACTTTTACAATTTTAGCGTATGTTTCCGAAGCTCTTTCGCCCAATTCGGAGCAAACTTTTATCTCGACGCGTTGCTCCTGATTTCGTTTTTCCATTTTCGTGACGAGCACCACGAACACTTTTACTCAACACGATAGAGCAGGCGAACTAAACAAGCTAGAGCGATTGCAAATATATCAAAAAGAGGAGAAGGCTGCCGGGAGAGGGAAAAGGGAATTTCAAGGTCGCAGGGTTATCACAATCAAGACAATATAATCAGTCTCATTACTTAATTATCACAACTCGTATTTTCCTTAAAGATTAATTCTCATATCTGAAAAATTTGCTGGATGGCGATATATATGATGAAATTTTCCGATTTCAATGATTTTCTGTGTCAATACGTGTTTAAGATATCAAACCTCACGTTGCCTTTTCTATAGAATTTTGACAAAAAAATCCTCACATCTGAACAACTCGGTTAGAAGGAAGCTATATGATTTAGTTTTCCGATTTCGAAGGTTTTCGTTGGCATTGTTTATGAAATCTCAGGCTGATAAATGCTTTTTTGACGGATTTTTGTTCGAAAATCTCACATCTGAACAAGTTAATTGAAATGGTCTTCCGATTACAAAGAATTCTGATTATATTGTTTATTTATATGTATGTATATGTATTTATATGTAGAATACCAATTTCATTGTTATTAGATACATTTTTGATAGATTTTTGTCTCAAAATCTCAAAGCTGAAAAATCGGTTGTCGACAAGTGATCCTTTAAATGTACCAGTGCAACTGTGTATCAAGTATGGTTGAGGATTAGTTTGTGATCAAACAGATGGACAGATGGTCAGTCAATTCAGCTAGTCATTCTAACCGATCGGTATAATTTGTAGGGGTCTGCCTCTTCTCCTTCTGACACTTACAAAATTCGAGCCAAAGTTCATATACCATTTCATATACAAACATACATATATGTACGTTTATGAAGGGTATAATAATGTATAACACAAGCTAAAGCCTTTCAGTTTATTCTAAGCCGCTTCCAAATGACTGTTATTTAAGAGAAACTGCTCCATATCAGAAATGTATTTGGATAGGTTGCCATTCCCCGTCAATGGGTGGCAGGAATCATATACAAATATTTTTTAAATTAAATTTTTTCTGTTTTGAATTTTGATCTGACCATGAATCAATGTGTATATTAATTTCAAGTACGTTTGTTAATGCGCATTAATGGCGGCATCTGTCATTTTGCATTGCAACTACATTTGCCGGTTAATATGATGAGTTTAAGAGTTGATGCCTCGAGGTAGACTTCAGCTTAATTTTGTCACATTTTTCACTAAATTGGGCACACTCAGCTCACTTAGTGCTGTAGTAGTCTGAAAACTTCTCAGAAGGGATATAGCTTATTCTATAGGGAAGATGCCATACTGTTGACATAAATCGAATTAAGGTACGATTAATACACTTCAGCACTGTCATTTAGGGACACACCCTTCTTCGACCTGCTATACAGTAAGGTTTGCAGAGCAGCTTTTTTATGCTATTTGCGACATTTGTACACGTTGAAAAATAAAGAAAATAAAGCTAACTGTGCCAAAATCATGAAACATATTGGCGAAAAAGATATAGATTAGTTTTAAAGATATATACCAAAAAAAAAAAAAAAAAGTTCATCGCTCATTCAATTCTGTTCTGTTTGTGAGCAGTGGCGGGTCCAGCTGGGAGAAATGCTGTACAAGAGCTCAAGCAAATATAGGATTTTTTGAAGAGAAACTTCTATTTATTTATGAAAAATTGAGTTGAATTAATCTGTTTGAAAAGGTCTTACATTAAACATAGAATTTTGAGCACTTACCCAATGGAAAGATCTTGGATATTTGAGATTTTATGTGTTTTAAAATCATTTTACAACTCAAAAATCATTTCGAAATCCGCCGCTCTTATAGATATTTGTATCTAAATTCAGCTAAATCCGTAAAGAGACGCTGCAACTAGCGATACAACCTGGAGATTAGGCAGTTATAAGAGATATTACATTTTATCGAACGATTTGGCTACTCACCCCTCAGGCTTAAAAAAAAAGTGGTCTACACAAAAGGAGTGTTTGGAAAAAATTCAAAGAAAATGAAAGAAAGTATTTTAAACTGTCCTTCCATAGTGGAGGTACTAGTTATTTTTATAAACACTTGAAGCTCAACCAGTTTTTAGAATAGAAAACTCGATTAAATTGCATAATTTCTTCCAGTAAAAGACCCACCGTTGTTGCCGCGCTATTAGCCTGTGTCATCTCCCTCAATGTGTGTGTCGCGTGCGGTCCGCTGTCTTTAACAAA